CTTTCTCGCTCTCTCAAATAAATAAAATCTTTAAAAAAAAAAAAAAAGATCAGGATATTGGTACAAAATTGTCCTGCACTTAAGAAAAAATGCCAAATCTTAAATAGCAATCTGAAACTCTGAAGGAAAAAAGTTTGTTTTGCATTCTTTCACTGTCCCTTGAAATTCTTAGGTCTTTAAAATGTAAACATAGCCCACAATTGCCTGTGACTGAAAATTAAAAAGGCAAACTTCTAAAAGGGTTCTTGTGCCCAGACTCTAGCACCTTTGATAACAAGCAGATATGTTCTATCTCCACCTTACGGAAAACTTGGATAATCTCTCCATACCTTTGGGATGTAAATTTTCTATCCCCATCATCTCTAGGATTAAAGAGCCATTGTTTGAAATACCAATGTTAGGGAGAAGTTTTTCACGGAGGGGTGGGGAGGAGTATTTGGAAATCAAGCCTTTAATGTCCTCTAGACAAGTATGAATAAAAACAAAAGTTATAAAGACAAGTGCTTGTAAGGATTGGGTGGTCCAAAACTCAGAAAGCTAGAGACTAACTTTAGTATTGTTGGTTAAAGACATGTCTACTATGCATGTGTTTACTAAGAGTTAAATATGTTCATGTTATCTCTTTTACAAAACTTACCAGAAAATAAACTTAGGACAGCAGTTGACTTTATTGCCTCATGAAGTTTTATGGATAGTCTGAACATATTTCTTAAGAACAAGTAAATAAACATAAAAAAAGGTTTGTATGTAAACTTTTATATTTCTTCCAAGATCTTTGGTAACCTGAAACTTTAATGTTTTTCTAAGTTAAATATCGCATTAAGATAAATTCATTATCTATTTTTGTCTTATAGATAAATTAAAGATAAATTTGGATGTTAGAAAATGTTTTGTGCTTTGCTATGAAGCACGTTTCTAAAAATTATGAACAGTTCACAATTGTTTACTACATAGTTTTCACTAGAAACTAGTTTCTAAGAGTTAAGGATTCTAATAAACGTAATTACGACTAGAAATAAGGGAAACAACACTGTATGCAGGGAAAGTATGAGGAATACAAACTGTGTACTAAAACTGCAGGATGCAACCAATGTTGGCCTTCTCTGACTTGAGGTCTCAAGTGACCTCAAGGAGAAATCAAACAGGTAGAAACAGAAAATCAGTTAAGCAGAGGCATGCAAGCAATATTTTCAAATAATCAGATATGAGAGAAACATAATGTATTAAGATGACCTAAGGGTCTTTGTAGTTACGAAAGGGAGGGGCTATATGTGCTTGTGAGCAGTTCTGAGCAGTTCTTCAGAGCAGTATGAAAGACTGTCTCCCAGGCTTTAGTCCTTGGTAAGACAAAAAAAAGCATTTACTAACCTACTTTGAGGTTGGTTTTCTTTGAGTTGACAAAATACAGTTTTGCTGAACAAAAAGATAATAATTTTGTCCTAAAGTGAGAGTGGTTATTTAAAGAGAGAAAACTTAGGACAAAGCCTGAATGTAATAAATAAAGCTGTAGAAGGTTTATGAACAATAATTTTAGAAAAGAATAGGATGAATTTAAGTAAATAATTTTCTTGAACTACTGGTTTGCTCTTAATAAATTGTAAACAAAGCTTTTCTTTACTTTTATAAAGTCATCTGCCGAGAAAACAAGGATTCTTTGGCTATATTTGAGGACTTAAGAAAACTGAGTCTTAACATTAAAAGAGCTAAATTTTGCTCACAAGGATGTAACCACTTCTATTTGCCTTTGAAATCTTTTATTGTCACTTTGGTTAAATAATTAAATGCTATTTCATAATAATCAGATGTTCAAACCTTTCAAATATTTTTTTAATATACTTCCAAAAACCAAACCCTAAAATTTTTGGATCATAATCTAACATTTAAGATTTTGTGAAAATTTGGTATAGTAAATTGTAGCGGAAGCACTGTCAAAGTGACACTAAACCCTCGTATAGACATGTTAATAAAATAAGTGAAACTCCTAAAAATCTGGTATCTTGGTATGTTACCTTGAAGTGTTGTATAATACAGAAAAAACTGAATTATCAACTGCATTGTAATGAATTCTAATCACATCTATAACCACAGTCATCTTTAAGTTACTGTTTTACTCTGATGCTAATGCAAATGTCTTCAATGAGACTCATGTAAAGAACTCTGAGTACAAGTTTCCAATAATCTTAAGATCATAAAACTGGACCAGGTAAGAATTTCTGAACTTACTAGTAAAAAAACCAGATTTAGGCAGAACAAGAATAAATCGGACTGAATGAACTGAGAATTATTTTTATGACTTTGAAGCACTGCTGACTTTTTAAAATGTTTTGTTTTTCCAGATTGAAGGAAACTTTTTTTCTTAAGCTGATTCACAGCAATTTGAAACATTTATCTTTTTCTCCCTATCTGATCCCTCCAGCATTCAGAAACCCAGTGAGTATTCTATTTTCATGGAAGTTTGCTTAATTTAAATAAGAATCTATTCTCCTTGTAACAGGACACAATGGGGAAATTGGTTATATGATGAAGGCTTTGACTGGAATGTCCTATTTTAGACATAGATTTACACAGACTCAGATATGACCAGACAGCTTTAAGGACTTTATGGAGCCTATAAAGCTTCCTTGGAAATAACTATCGCTTACAGAGTTCCCAGCAGCTTTACCAGGTGAGTAAAGAAGATCATTTCTTGGCCAATGCAGGAACCGAGAGAAAAGAAGAATTCACCCAAATCTATAGGTATTAGAGGTGAAGTCTGATGGCAAGTAGTTGAGAGGCTACTGAAAATTTAATCTGGAGATTTCTTATGAATAGTTCCAGCAAAGCAGGTTTAAAGAGCCTATACGATCAACTGCTATTCTTGCTACACTTATGTAAATTAATAAGGCCAAGTTTTTTTAAAACCAAACTTATTTTGCAAACTAATTAGCATCAATTTGGTTATCTTTGGTGGAAATGGTGATTACAGAAAAGAAAAACACACCCCTGTGTATTAGATTTTAATACTGCTCATCAAAAACTAGACTAGATCCAGATTACCTCTAGTTTTCTCCAATGACTAGCTACAACTCTTTAAACTCGTATTTTCAATTTTTCTCCTACCTTTCTGACTTGGAATCATTTGAGAACTAAAACTGCCCTTTTCCCTGAAGCCCTGCAAACCAAATAAAAACAACTTGAGGTAACCTTCAGAAAAATCACACTACCTCACATCTAGACAACCTGTATGCCTACTGTTCTAGGGGTACTTGAAAGATCAGAGACATGTGGACTATAAACCAGGAAAATCTGTCAGACTGTCATTGCCTGCTCCCACTCCAGCTGAAGATGCGTCCAGCCTGACATCTATAAGTCATGGCTGGCTACCCTCAGAACTCAGAAAAATTAACGAAACAGAACACCTGATTAGTTATTTAATTAAATCACAGGCCTAACTTTGAGAATATACCTGCATCATGACCTCCTGAAATGAGATTATAACTGAGCTGATCTATTGCCAGTACTAAAATTGTTCAACAAGATGGAACAATCTACCAGGGCTCAACTTTAAATGTGTGAAACTTCAGGGAAGTTTCAGAGGGAACTTCAAGTGCCAAGGGCAGGCTGCCCTAAGATAGGCCATTTTGCCCATGAATGTTACTTTGACTTAAAAGCAGTCAAAACCCAGCAGATTTACGAAAAGCTCCTTACCTCCCCATCAAACTGCCTAAGTTTACATTTACAGAAAGGACAGCCTATACAGAGCTATTAACTGAGATTCCTCTTTACCTAAGACGCTTATTTGTGTAACAGCAACCTTTATTTTTCCAAACATCTCCTCTCACCTTCCTGCCTGGCTGTCCTTCCCTATATATCCCCACCCCCTACCCCCCCCAGTCCTTTGCTCAGGATGTCATATAAGCCTCACATTGCCTGAATGTCTTTGGAATTTCATGTCTGTTTTCTCTTGTTAATCTGTCTCATGTCAATTTCTTAGACCAGCTAGAAGGGCAAAGGACATTCTGCCTCCCTAATAATACCAGAGAAAAGAACAACAAAATAGTGGTAACTGAGAGCAGCACTAATACCTTAAATTTTGATCACATTTTTCAGTTAAGCTGAGACTGATCAAATGGGTGACTTGTTAAACCACAGGCCCCAAATGGCATCACTCAGGCTTATTCTGCAAACCAGGGCTTAATATCTACATTAACTGCAGTTTCAAACTTTCCCAGAAGTGTAGTCTTAACTGAACAAACAGGGAATCTTCCGATTAGTGATAATGGGTCTGCCACATGGGCCCTCTCCCTTCTCCCAGAGGGTAAAAGACCCCTTGTTTTTATCCTCATGGGAAAGTGACCTTGCCTGCAACAGTCCTGTTCTTTTGCTAGTAACTTCCTTGCCCCACCTTCCTTCCTATAATGTACAATGCATTGAGCTTCCATTCCCTCTACTTGCTAGATAAGAGGCTGCCCAAACTGTTTAAAAAGGCCAATTAGATCTTCAGCTTTACTACACTGAATTTTGTTTTTTTAACAAGACAGCGAATTACCTTACCTGCAAGGTAACGAATTGTCTCAAGCTTGTTAGACTCCATCAGTGTTTTCAAAGAAGCAATTTCAGTGTCAATTTTATTACTGGTCTCAGAAATAATACTTCTGGTTTTGGTATCCTGCAGTAAATAAGAATGAGACAAATTCTGTCCCTATGTTTTATGGACAAAACATTTACATTAGAAACCCTTACTTATGGGCTAACTTTGTATTGCAAAGGTCTTAATTGGGGAAACAGTAAAAGCACAGTGACAGAAAAAACATATGAACATTATAAATGGACAAAAAGAATATTCAATTTTTGATATTTGGAGATTATTATTAATTTCTTTGGATTATCTTATTTTGGGTACATTCTACTAAAAGCCTCATAGTAAAAAATTTGAGACCTAAAATATATGATAATAAACTAAGACGGTAAACTAAGAAGGAAAGGAAAAGTTTTAGTCCTAGAACTATAAACATTTTATGTGTATAAAATCCTCAGGACATCACAGTTAAAACTTCTGCACGATTTAAAGAAAAAACTCACCCAGATTTATAATGTGAACTGGCAGCAGTAATAAAGGGAATGGCAGAAATGCTTTTGTTGTGTAACACCAGGGAGATAAGATAGCATATGGAGCTTAGAAATAAGCTCTGGAGAATTTGATTTCCTTGTTTATCTCTTTTGTCTGGCCAAGAACAGAACAGAATAGAATACCTGGAAAGACAAATGAGACCTTCCCTTCTATTTAATTATAATTAAGAAAGAGTGATGTCTCGGGGCACCTGGGTGGCACAAACTGCCGACTCTTGGTTTTGGCTCAGGTTGTGATCTCAGGGTCATGAAACTGAGCCCTGCCTGTGGCTCTGAGCTCAGCACAGAGTCTGCTTAAGACTCCCTCCCTCCCTCTCCTCATGTTCTTTCTAAAATAAAAACAACAGCAAAAAAGAGTGACGTCTCTTCTGTTAGAACATAGACCAAATGGCTTTTAACTTGTAGGCTGAGTCAAAAAGCTGGGTTTTACTCAAGCTATAGAGATTAAACATGGATTACAGTTTAGGATTAGGAGAAGGTAAACAGGTGTAGAGTATGGATTTCAGAATCCAGGGTCACATTCTGGCTCAACCACTTATTAGCTATGTAACTTTAACTTCCCCTGTGCCTCATTTTCCAAATTGGTAAAATGGGAATAAAGAGGGCCTACTTCAGAGGCTGATAAGGAGGACAGAAGTAAAGCAAGTAAAACAGTATCTGATACATAATAAGCATTCAATAAATATTTACTATTAGTCTCTGCCTTCATTTAAATGCTAATTGTGAATCCTTACTTTCAAAAAATAGTTCCTTTGTATATACAAATAATTTAGTTACAAAATATGTTACCTGGATTCTGACAGAAATCACAGTTCAGGTACAGGCATAAGAACAGTTATAAAAGACATTTTTACATACTAGTTTACCTTGCTGGTAAATTCTGTGGTTGCTTCCATAAGTTTCTTTTCTTGATCTGTAAACTAAAGGATATGATGAATCAGGAGGTTAAAAAAAAAAAAGAGACTAGAAGGAATAATAAAGGAATTAAGTTACCAAGAAAACACATTTAGAAACACATTACCATATCAGTTACTCTGCTTCTTTCTAGGTTGATGTCCAGTTTATTATCTGCTCTGATTTGACTGGTTTCATTCTTTAAAGAAAATCAAAATATTAAAAAAGAAATCTCATAATGTTTGTTCTGAAATTAGTAAAATATTCTAAAGTGAGAAAAGTACTTAAACTTACTATCAGTTGCTGCTTAACTTGTTCCAATTCAGTTTTCATTTTCTAGGTATAAAAAAATCACATGCAATTGCCATTATACCAAACACCTACGGCATGATTTATTCAACAAATCTGAAACCCTGCATTAGCAAAAACTGGACGATCTCTACACATTTCTAATTAACTATTAACTAAAACTACACAAAAAAGGAAAGTAGTATTTCATCATATTCAAAAAATTCTTATGAACAGTAAAAAAAAAAAAAGTATTTGTTCTACTTATTTTTAAACCATGACTGATATTCTAAATTTAAAAATATTTAAGCTAGCGATCAAAATTCCAACTGAAGTACAGAAAGTTTTCTAATTTTAACTGACAGAAGTTAGCACAGAATCATATAAAATGGAAAATGTCACATTACTTTAAATTCTGAGAACATTATATTGAGCTATATGAGAAATTTTATATAATAAATATAGAGCTCAAAGATTTTCCCTTCCATGTGACTTTTACATGTGTAAGGTACAACCCTTAATCTTTGGGATTAATTAAAGAAACTATAATTTATACATAGAAACGTTAGTTATGGTTAAACATGTAGTATACTTTGATCTAAAACCTTGATAATTATTGAATGACCACATAAAATCATTATTTGGCCCTATTCATCACCAAGTGGAATATGTGAAATCAGTTATTTTATTAGTAATAAACCGAAACTTGTATCACCTGATTCTCTGCTCTCAGATTTGCAAATTCACTTTTTTCTAGGATGACCATGTCTTTCCTGATGGAGTCCAAATGAGACATTAGTTGTTGTACTGTTATTTCCTGGAAAGCAAAATTAAAATAACCTAGTGATATAGAATGCCATCACCTTATACAGAATTGTTTTCATGGAATGTAAAATAATCTGTTGTTATGCCACAAGGTATAATGTTTCTTGGCTAACTAAACAAAACCAAGCCTTGTGAAAACCGTTTATCAAAATGAAAAGGAGGTTCCAGTCCAAGGTTGCCACACAGGAGGACCGTGAACTCACCTCCTCCATGGACACACCAAATCTACACCTTATTTATAAAGCACTTCCTCCTGAAGAACAACACAGAGCCAACCAAACAGCTTTTGCACAGCAAAAGATGTATCACATACAAAAAGGCAAGACAGAGACACAGTCATGAAGGGAACCCCCAATCCCAACACTGAGAGCCATGGTGGGAATGATAGTACTGAATGACCATGAGCAGATCTGTCTGCCCTGGGATACAGAAAAAACAATGAGGTTTCAAAGCGTAACTAGAATATAAAAGATCCTGCCCCAGAACTCTGCCAAACACTGCAGGAGCTGCTGGTATTTTCTGCTTCAGAGGGGGTGGTGAACATCGCTGTTTATCCTCCCCATCCACCTTGAGAGCACAGACGCAAGCAGACACCACAGCTAGCCTACCACCTCAGCAAGCCCTAGGCCCCTGGCCCAAACCAACACAGTGTCTGTGAAGGTAGCCCCAGCGGAGACCACACCAGAACACCCACGGTCAGTGTTCACAACAGCTGACTTGCCAAGGTGGCACAGGTGCAAAGCACCCCAGAATAATCCAGGCCCCCACCACTTCACCTCCAGATAACTTGCCAGGATACCCCCAGTTAAGAGCATCCCAGGACTTTCCAAATTAGCTCACAACCAACCAGGCTGCCACCTGCATGAAGGGTCTTGGGAACCCCTGGCCCAGGCTCACTTAAACTTAAGTTGTCCTGCCAGGGCACTAGCTCCACGAAGAGCCCCAAGCTGCCTAGAATGAAACCTCTTCAGCTTCAGCTGTCTTTCCAGGCGAGAACCCTGGGACTGCCTCCAGACAACAGCCACTACAGCACCAGCTCTCTGGCCAGGGTGCAATCTACATGGAGAGCTGTGAGACTGTCCAGGCCCGTACCTGGCCTGTACCTGCTTTGTTTCTGTACATCCCACCAAAATGGCCCTATCACGAGGTGCCCCAGGTTCTAAGCCTCCAACATCCATACATTCAGAAAGCCAGCCAAAGTCACCAGGCACACATCTTCCACAGGGGCTGACTACACAATATCACTCTAATTTGGAAAAGCAGCTGTTGCGTGTAATTCACAGAAACAAAGTAAAGCAAGAGGAGGAGACAAAGGAGTCTGCTTCAGACAAAGCCAAAACCTTGGAAACAGGACTAAACAGAATGGAAATAAGAAATATGCTTGATAAATAGTTCAAAATTATAGACATAAAGATGCCACTGGATTGGACATTGGGGTTGATAAACTCAGTAAGAACTTGAACAAAGAGACAGAAAATTAAAAAGAACCAATCAGAGTTGAAGAACACAATAACTGAAATGAAAGATGAACTAAAGGGAATCAACAGATTAGAGGATAGAAAAGAAGAGATTAGTAATATGGAAAAGAGGGCAAAGGAAAGAACCCAAGCTGAACAGTAAAAAGAAAAAAAAAAAGGATAGCTTAAGGGATCTCTTGGACAACAACAAGCAAAAAAACATTTGCATTATAGGGGTCCCAAAAGAAGAAAAGGAAGGGGGGGCAGATAAGTTATTTGAAGACACGATAGATGAAAACCTCCCTCACCTAGGGAAGGAAACAGACCTTCAGGTTCAAGAAGTGCAGAGGAGTACTAAAGATGAACCCAAGGAAGTCCATACCACAAATAGTAATTAAAATGTCAAAGATAAAAGGGAGAAGTTTAAAACCAGAAAGAGAGAAACAATGAGTTATAGACAAAGGAAATCCAAGACTATCAGCTCACTTCCCTGCAGAAACTATATAGGCCAGAAGGGAACAGTATGATATATTAAAAGTGCTTAAAGTTGTAAAAACCTACAACCTGAATCCTCTACCCAGCAAAGTTATCATTCGGAATTGTTGAGTTTTCCAGACAAAATTTTAAAAAGTTCATCACCTTTAGAGGCCTTATAAAAAATACAAAATGATTTGAGGGGAAAAGAAGAGGTCAAATTAGAAGAAAATTATGAAATGAAAAACTTTCATGAGTAAAGCAAACAAAGTAAAGGTAGTACAGCAAACACTTAAAAAGTGAGTTTGAAGATTAAAGATAGGAGTAGTAAAGTCAATTATATTTAAAAATCAGTTAAGGGGACTCACAAACTAAAAAGATATAAAATATGACAACATATACATAAAATGTGGGAGGGATAGATAAGAATGAGTTTCTTTTAGAATGTGTTTGAACTTAAGTAACCATCAACTTATTATAGACAGCTAAGTAAGTACTCAGGATGTCATATATGAACCTTATGGCAACCACAAACCTAAAACCTGTAAGAGATACACAAAAAATAAAGAGAAAGAAAGCTAAGCAAAACACCAAAGAAAGTCATCAATCACAAGGAATGAGAGCAAGAGACCAAGAAAGGAATGGAGAAGAACTACAAAAGCAACAAAATGGCAAAAAGAACCTATGTATCAATAATTAAATGAAATGGTCTAAGTGTTCCAATCAAAAGACAGCCACAGATTGGATAAAAAAAGACCCATCTACATGCAGTTTAAGAGAGATTCACCTTAGTACTAAAGAAACATATAGACTAAAAATGAAGGGATGGAAAAAGATACCCTATGCAAACTGATGGGGGGGGCAAGCCAGAGTAGCAGTAATTAAATCAACAAAAATATACTTTAAAACAAAGACTGTAACAAGAGACAAACAAGGGCATTACATGATAATAAAGGGATCAATCCAACAAGAGGATATAACAATTATAAATATATCTATGCACCCAACACTGGAGCACCTAATAATGCATAAAGCAAATATTAATAGATAAAGGAAGAAACTGACAGTAATATGATCCTGAGAGACTTTAATACCCCACTTACAACAACGGATAGATCATACAGAATAATAATAAGGAAACAGTGGTCTTTCAACCAACATATTAGACCAGATGGATTTAAAAGATACATACCCCCAAACAACAGATTATACATTCTTTTCAAGGGAACACATAACATTCTCCAGAACAGGTCACATGTGAGGCCACAAAACAAGTCTCATTAAATTTAGTAAAACTGAATTCATAGTAATCTTTTCCAACTGCAACAGTATGAAACTAGAAATAAATTGCAAGAATAAAAGTGGAAGAAACAAACACATGGAGGTTAACAACATGCTATGAAACAACCAATGGGTCAATAAAGAAATCAAAGAGGAAATAAAAAAATACATGGAGACAAATGAAAATGAAACACAATGGTTCAAAATCTTTGGGACACAGTGAAAGCAGTTCTAAGGAGATACATAGTGAAACAAGCCTACCTCAAGAAACAAAAAAAATTTCGAATAAATAATCTAACCCTACATGTAAAGAAACTAGAAAAAGGAACAGCATAAACCTAAAATTGGTAGAAGGAAGAAAATAATAAAGATGAGAGTAGAAATAAATGAAATAGACACTAAAAAACCAATAGAAATAGAATAATGAAACCAAGAGCTGGTTCTTTGAAAAGATAAACGAAAGTGATAAACTTTTAGCCAGACTCATCAAGTAAAAAAGGAGGAAGACACAAATAAAATTAAAAACGAAAGAGGGTAAGTAACAACTGACACCACAGAAATACAAAAAATTAGAACAGAATACTACAAAATTACATGCCAGCGAAGTGGACAACCTAGAAGAAATACATAAATTTCTAGAAATATATAAACTTTCAAAACTGAATCAGGAAGAAATGGAAAATCTGAACAGACCAATTACTAGTAATGAAATTGAACTGATAATAAAAAAACCCCCAACAAACAAAAGTCCAGGACCAGATAGATTCACAGTAAATTCTACCAAACATTTAAGCAAAAGTTAACACCTGTTCTCAAAATATTCCAAAAAATAGGATAGAAAACTTCCAAATCCATTCTATGATGCCAGCATTACCATGATACCAAAACCACCCATCAAAAACACTACAAAAAAAAGAAAACAGGCCCATATCTACGATAAACACAGATGCAAAATTCTTAAAAAATATTAGCAAACTGAATTCAACAATGCATTAAGAGGATCATTTACCCTGATCAAGTTTGATTTATTCCTGGTATGCAAGGATGGTTTGGTATTCACAAACCTATCAATGTGGTACATCACATTAACAAGAGGAAGGATAAAAACCATATGATCATCTTAACAGATGCAAAGAAAAGCATATGACAAAATACAGCATCCATTCATGATAAAAACTCAACAATGTGTGTGTAGAGGGAACATACCTCAACATAATAAAAGCCATGTATGACAAACCCACAGCTAACGTCATACTCAATGGTGAATAATGGAGAGCTTTTCCTTTAAGATCAGGGAAAAGATGAAGATGTCCACTCACCAGTTTCATTCAACATAGTACTGGAAGCGCTAGCCACAGCTATCAGACAACAAAAAGAAAAGGCATAGAATTGGTGAGGAAGTACAACTGTCACTATCTGCAGATGACCTGAAACTATAAAAAGAAAATCCTAAAACTATACACAGAAAACCTTAAGCCCTAAACTCCATCAAAAAAACCCTATTAGGAGTAATAAGTGAATTCAGTAAAGTTGCAAGATAGAAAATTAATACCCAGAAATCAGCTGCATTTCTATACACCAGTAACAAAGTAGCAGAAAAATAATTCCATTTACAATTACATCAAAAAGAATAAAATACCTAGGACTAAACCAAGGAGGTGAAAAAACTGTACTCTGAAATCTTTAAGACACTGATGACAGAATCTGAAGATGGCACACAAAAAAGGTAAGATATTCCAGGCTCATGGACTGGGGAAATTCATATTGTTAAAATGTCCAT